AAGGCTACCCCATCCACCATATTCTAATCTTTCTGGAAACTACTCCCCATGTGGTGCGATCCCATTCTGATACTCATAGCATCTTTCTGTTTCACCTGAAACATCATCTCAGGACTGAGAAGAAATGAGATGTGTCATGATGTGCGATCGTGTCATAACTTATTAAGCGAGCCCCATATTTTGAATTTTACAAAAATTGATGCATCTTTCAAAATTCTTCAAAAATGAGATTGAAACTTCAAATAAAAAAATTGAAAGCTCATTTCTTCTATCTAATGGTTATATTTTTATAAGCTTTTTTTTTGGGGGGGGGGGGTGCCTTCGCACTCATCGCAATCCCCCCCCCCCCTCTGCCGTCCAGAGAGAGAGAGAGAGAGTCCAGAGATAGTTTGCAAAGCGTGCTCACGGCTTTCCATGGAAAACATCACCAGTTGCAACTAGTGTCTTTTTTTCTTTTTAATTTTTTTTCTTTTTAATGTTGCAACTAGTCTCTACAACTGTCACTGACTGAAGATCACCTAGACACAGTTACATGTACATTATGTCAAGGTGAATACAAAATATGCCCTTTTTGAAATGTTCAGGATTCACGATGGTCAGAACAAGATTGTATTTTTGATAATACAAATGTATTACCTGTAAGCAGGTTTCAACGGATTTTGATACACATTTTTTGCCGTGTGTCCTATTATGATTACAACCAGCAGTTTCCTAGATAAACATGGCAACCGGGAGACATCTCGAAGCTGTTGTTTATGACTTCAATACGGTACACCAATATTGATTTCCTCGCAAAGTATTCAAAAAACAATTCGTCTTTTGATAGGCTTTTTTCAAAAAGTTTACACTTAGCTTACGTCATTTTAATTCATTCAAACCTAAGACTCGATCGTGCAAATTATGTATTGAATTGTAAATTGTATATTTACATTTTCCTCAATTAGTCACAATTTTTTCTCTAAATTCTATTGTATTGTTGTAGCCAGAATGTTTCGGGTCAAGAGACCAACTACGAAAGAAAGTTATCAAAAGGATTAATGCAAATGCCTTTTATATGAACAAAATGTCAACTACGGGGGAGTTTCCTGCCCCTGCGACCTTATTTGTCCATTTAGAATAAGATAAACCATGTAACCAGGTCCATGTATTCCATTCTGACAGAATTTCAGATTCAATTTCAAATTAAGTTTATTATGTTCGAAATCCCGAATGTCCCCGGGAGATCTCTCTTCGAAATTATAATGTCAGATAGATACAAAATAATATTGATATAACTGAAGATACTTAATTTGGCTCCCGTTTTAATTAGACGGATTGACGGAGTCAAATTTCAGTTTGGGATTTTTGTCAAATGTACTTCATAAATTAAACTTGTGGGGCCCCTTTTCCTGTCAACTGAGCATGTCATCAACATGTCATACATTATCCCAAAAGAAATACAGAAAATATCTTAGTAAATACCCGTCCTAATGACATAAACCATGGGCTTTCAAGAGAATCTTTTGATAGCCCATGCATAAACATAGACAAAAACTTCAGTCCTGATTCCGCCAAATTAAATAGCCGCCAATATTTGAAATTGAGCAAATTCGTCAAATTAAGTAGCGTCAAAATAAGTGTATTTAAAGTATCTGTAAGGGGGGGGGGTGGCTCAAGGCATAAAGATTACCGGGAGATACAAACCGGAGAAATAGATGAGATGATGTATGTATTGTATGTTTTCCAGTTTTAATTATGTTATTTGTTTTTGGTCCTAATATGATTAGGGACCACCAATATGTATGTGACAGTTTTGAAGTTCAAAAAACGGGTAAAATTGGTTAAAGTTAATTGTATATGATAATCAGATTCAAAGATACACAACTAAAATAACGAGGAATTAAAAATAGCCCATAGACCATGTAGACTGCAATCATGGACTCTCTTGAAAGCGTAATGCTGTAATCAAGGTAATTTTGGGATATCCCGTCTTTGAAGAAGCAAAAACGCAATCAAACAGTTAATTAGTTATTGTGTGATCTAGATTACAGATCAAAGAAATCAATTCCAAGATCATTATTACTATGTATTTAGTTTGTCGTATTTTTGAAAAGGGGTACAAGAAAACTATGTATTAATATATCAAGGGCAGGGTGCTACTGAATCTGATAGTTAAAGCGTATGCTAGTATGAGGGGCGACATTTAAAGTAAAGCATTGTTTTAAATCCTGGGAAAATGCACTCCCCCATTTTGCAAATATTGTGTGATGCCAATGAACCCTGAAATTTGTTTTTGTTTTCGTGAGCAATCAACAAATATGTTTATGAAAATCTTGTGAGTCCAGACATATGATTCTAATTCTGTCTCAGCTTAGTGTTGATTAGATTTTATCCCCACTCTTTCGACGTCCGTGTCTCCTTCATTTTTACCCTATATTCAGTTTCTTTTTAAACCAAATTTACAAATATCCGTCCACATATATAAATCAGTAGTTGTTTATGACAAGATTATGTTTATAGATCATCAAAAATTAAGGTAGCGTATTCTGTAATTTCAACTATAATGTAATTGTTAGTCCCCTCCCCTTCGCCGACAGTAAAGAATTGTTTAAAATAATACTGGATCCACCGGCCAATTATTCTTTCACCATTTTGAGCAGTTTTCGTGTGATTTTCGAACAAATATCAAATGTGACCCCACCCCTGGAATAAGTTAGCCCCCCCTCGCCGATATAGATGTCTAGTTTAAAATAATACTGTATCCCCTGGCCAATAATTCTTTCACCATTTTGAGCAGTTTTCGTGTAATTTTTGAGCAAATATCAAATGTGACCTCACCCCTGGAATAATTCAAAAGTCATCCCCTTAGCAAATGCTGGATTCGGCCCTGGTACTTGTCAATGCGAAATAATGGGTGTTGATTCGTGGAAATACCCATTTAAACAGACCCTCTTAATTTATAACAAGTTAACAATGGTCCTTTTTCCATATAGCTTTGAAATCTCGTTAAGGTCTTGTTTTTAATGAGATTTTAGGAGATCTGCATTTTTAACCATTAAAAACTAATGTTTTCTTCCATCCGATGGCATATTTGAATTCTGTGAGTAATTCTCAATCAAAACAACTTTGATTTGCACTGTAATTTACCATTATTCAAATTCTAATGATTTACTGGTTGTCTAAAAAAGGTCGGGCTAAATCCCCATTGACACAATGCTGAAAAACCTTAAAAGTTCATTTACTCTTCCAAGGATCACAATTTTAATGTGAAATCACAATCCACATGTCAATAAGATCATAAAGTTACATTCCAATGATGTTTTAAGTTGATCCAAATGGAATTAGTTCTTAAATCAAGAAATTAAGTGACTCTGGCAATACATTTACATGTATTCTAGCCCTACCCAAGCTCTACCAATACCCATGATGCCATCTATTTTTCATTTAATGGAAAAAGGTCAATTAAGAAGCCATGTTGCGATGTACTTTTCGTGACTCAAGTCGGATATAAAGTGAAAACATATTCTTTTTGATTTGATATCCCGTATTTAGCTAAAGCAAAACACGAAATATTGACACGTACGGTAAATTATAATTATATATCCATATATAGCGCAAAATCTCACATGGCAATTTAATAACGACTAATTTTGTCTTGTGTCTAACCACGGCGTGCTTAGAGATTTCTAGACTCTAGTCACGCTCTGTCCACGCCAGCTCTAAGCACGTCTAAGCACGCCTAGAAATCTCTAGATACACGGAGTTCCTAGACTGACTAAGCACGTCTAGAAATTACTAGAAATTCCACATTTGATGCAGTGATAATATCATGACAACTGTCATGGTTTCATGGTTTTGCGGTCGATAGAACCATGTTATGGGAGTCTGTTTTCAAGCTGTTGATATTAAATGTTTTCTGGATGTTGACATTATACATGTGCATGACTTCAGCAACATGAATCATGACATGTATGGTTAATGTTGTTTTCATGTTTTTTTTAAATATAACGCATACTAGCAATGCATGCCTCACAATTTAGTTTCTATAATATATCGGGTGTCCCAAAAAGATGAGTCGCTTTTTAACAAGCAATTCTCAGCAATGGATCGACCTAATTCATTAAATAAAAAGTGTAAGTGGCCTAAGAGTAGTATCAGTAAGTGATGTAAATATAGAAGAGAGCATATTTTGCGAGTACTAGCATTTTCAAAACAGCAAAAAACAATATCAGAGCTGCGCAGTGAGGCCTTCATCATATTTATGCAAACTATTTGGTGAGATAATTATGGCATGGGCTGCAATATGGTAGAAACAAATACTTTAAGCATTTCTGCTTGGAAAATATCGGTTTCATCATGGTTTCATGTAGACTGAAACAAATGATTTTTTCATTGATATAGGATACTTTGACATACTGTTCTAAAATAAATGTAATTCGAGAATAATTTGTGACAAATCGTCCTTATGTTTTTGCAGACTTTTTGGTGATATCCTAAAGATACTCAGTAAAAAGTTTCAAAAAAATTCGGTCCACCCATTTCTGAGAAAATACTTTCAAAGAGCGAGTTTCTTTTTGGGACACTCGATAGTATAATATAGCTATAACAATACCATCCAGCCTTGGAGAGATTGGAGATTTATACTCATTTTATAATTAATTATATGAGTACAGTATGTTTTGAATTCAATCACTTTCAGGATTGTGAACTAGCTAGGATGACATCATCAAAAAGTGTGTAGGAATTCCCTCAATGTCAAAGTCTCATTTTGAATACAAATCACAAAACTCATGAATAGGCCGAAATCCAAATAAAAGAAGGAACCCGTCTTTGTACTGTTGATATCGTAGGCCAGTGTAGGTCTTCCAAAAAATCATGCATGTTCTGACCTATTGCCCATGCATCTATGAATCCTTATATGTCATGTACTATACCGAAGTCGTGAGATTGTAAATGTCATTTTGAAATGTCAAATGAAAACAGGGTGGCACTACCAACATAGCTTTATAACATTAATACTAGTTTCAGAAAAAAAAGTAAGCAGTCAGCATTTGAGAAGGATTCAGAATTGAAATCTATCGACATCATGATGGATAAATATAAATTGATAACAGTCCTTATCTTTATGTTAGCTTTTGTATTAGGTGAGTCAGTTGCGTTATTATTTTTAAACATTTTTACTGTATACAATTGTTATGTAAGGAAGTTTGCATCTCTGAAGTGATTACCCTTACAATGTGGACATTTTTGTCAATTCTTATATAGTAAGAACACGTATATCTCCTTTTCTCCTTTAAATTCGAAACGATTTATATCTTATCTAAGCAGTAAGTATGGGTCTGACACATTAAATATTGGTAAAATGCTGGAGTATGATATTTAACGAAAATTCCACACAATTTACTTTGAAAGCAAAATGCCAATTAAACTAAATTAATCATTCTTCATCTGATCATTTTGTTGGGAAGGACTTCTGATCAAGTACGAGTCTTTATACGCCATGGATGTCTTACAGTCTGAAAGTTTTGGGATAAAGTTTTGCCACATTTGTACACGCCTGCTTTCTATAAATAATCGGACTAGAATGACTATGAATTGAAATTTAAAATCCAAATGTCTCCGTTTTATGAAATATTCTGAAGCCGATCAAGTGCAACATACGAAGCTAAATCTGAGATTAGTCAAAACGTTATCAAGCAGTGCGTTGCACAAATCAAACAATCCAATCTTTTAGAAATACATCATGTGTACTAAAAATCATTCAACAACATGTACTTTCTTTGTTTTCAATCAAGCGATAGCTAGGAGATGTGATAAGGATGAAGATTGTTTCAAGAGGAAGTTTTGTAACTCATATCGCAAGTGTGTTCCGAGAGGAGAATGCCGCTTTCGTAATATATTTATAATATTATATACTATAATATGTTTATCGTTTTTAATAAAAAAAAACGACATACACTTGGAATTTTCAATTAAAGTTACACACTATATAACTGCTTATATCTGAAAAGTTTATCATGAGACACATAAAGTTTAAATGAACATATGTATGCCTATGAACCTGTAATGTTAATTATATTAATTGATTAATCTAGAAAAGCTTTGGGAACAGCTTCACTTATTAAGATAGTATTTTTTCTACTGAATTCTCCACTTATATTTGAAGAGCTTCAATATGCGGAAGATTTAAGTATTGTCAACTAGATAAGGCAAAGCCTCATCTTAAGACAATTACAAGACCATCGTGTGGTTTTAGTTTGAAGTTTAAACAGTCAACATCTGGATAGATCACTGTATAATTAATTAATATTTTATTAAGCTGACTGTGCCCTGGGATGCCTAAAGGACATTGAATGTGGAGTCAATACCTACTGCCATTCTAATGTGTCGATTGGGGTTATAAGAAATAACATTACGTATGGCGCTTGTCTAACTGTAAAAAATACCGGAGACGCCTGTGTTAGCCAACGAGAATGTATTTACAATAATGAATGTTACTTCAATAAATGTGCTAATATTACGAGGAAATTAAAACCCATCGATAAACAAGTCAAACGTAAGTATTTCACAAAGACGGCTCTGGAAAATGCTAGTAAGTCACTGTTCCACAGCTAGTTACTTTGACGGAACGGAAGCTTTGTGCCAAATTATAATCTGTAACTCGACTTAGAAGTCGGTTTAAATCGAGAAAACAAAAAATCGTAACCAGGAAGTTCATCCATTTTGTTACATTGACGTTCCGTATTGCTCCACTCAAACTGATCATACAGGTGTATTTATTTTCCACTATCGTAGACACGCAAAATTCAGGTCTACAAATATCCCAAATTTTCCTTTATTAAACGTTTTAAGGAGTAGCACTTTCGATATGAACTTAAAGCTCATTCTGTATTCCCTAGCGAATTAATATCACACGTAAATCATAAAATGATATAATGGTAAAAACTGCAAATGAAAATTGAATGTCAATATGGCCATCGTTATTGTTGGCCAAGTTATATCCCGTGGTTGAAAATGTCAGGGTCAGTCATTGAGTCATGGGAAGATTTCAATCCATTTCGTCAGATCAATGCTACAGATAAATGCAATCTCATTGGCATTGTGTGCAAAACTATTAGATACAATGCAAGATGTTTTCAATTTAAAAACAATCACAGACTAATGCCTTGGTCACATAGGCTCCGATTTTCACTGCGGCGCCCGGCCGATGAGTATTTTGTTCAAAATCGGCCGGCGAGCCCGGGCATCGTACGGGCGCCGGACGATGATCGCCACTCATCGGCCGATTTTTAGACATCGTACGGGCGCCGGCAGAGTTTTATCGCGGAGATAAAAGTTGCCGATGTCTTGGCGATTTTTTCTCAACCAAACTCATCGGTACCTACCCGGCCGTGTCCCGCCCGATCATCGTACGATTATCTTACGGCGCCCGGTGGCATCGCACGGTCATCTTTGGATTTTGCGTGCTGATTTGTTGGATAAATCTTAATAATGATTACTTATAAAGTGATATAAAGGTTTTAAAAATAATGAGGTAAGGAATTATAATTACTACACACTGACAGAGATTTTTATAAAACATAAATGGAACGATTAAGCTTACTGTATATAAAACAATGGCACACATTTGAATGGCTGGGTGGGTGGGTTGATCTAGTCGTTCTTATATTGACATTAATCGTGTATGTCTGTCATACACATTGAATAGAGTTTTACAGTTTTATGCGTATATTCACTCATGCATATACCATTACAAATCATTTATTTTAAAAATCTTCGGAATGTTTTTGTGAGTACAGTAATTTCAAGGGTCACAATTTTACTACGATTAATTACGTCTCAATTACAACGTAATATGCCAAAGGCTAAGGATAGAGGGGATAAGGCCAATGGGCCATATATGAGGAAGGCCTTGGAAAGACAGGTGGAAAAAGACAATAACAATGCTACTGAGCTGGTGGATGATGAAGATTTAGATGTGTCTATAGGGAAGCGGGTACTCCACTTGAAACAGAAGAAATATGCCAATTTCTTTGAAGCCATATTTTTATGACCAAACTAATTCTCTTTACAAGAACAGACGAAAGAAAGATGGAGAAATAAGGAATTTTGCTAATAGCATCGGATGGACATGTAGACATAGTAGTTTTTATATGAAGGATCTAAAAATGAATTAAGATCAGGGTGCACTTTGATGAAAAGACCACGTCCAGTATGGTAAGTGATTTTAGACGGTCATATATTTCACCATGAGTACCTTCTGGGCACAAATAGAGTGTTTTTATTAAAACAATATGTTTTCTTTCAATTGAAGTACCCATGATGATAAAAATATCAATCAAACAATTCGAAAAATGATAAATAGGGACCCCATGTCAACATTTTTTCTAAATATTGAACCTATTTACTCAAAAGAGAATCTTCTTTTTCTGATTTTTATTGCATGAAAACATTATTATCCTGGAAGTCCTGTTTATCAAAGTATTTCGTTTTCAAATGTTGCATTCACGCCATGTGGAACAGTCATACTGGGTAATACAGGGATTAAGTATAAATCTAGAGGCCTGTAAATCGACCGATGTCCTGGCGGGTCCCGTACGGCCATCGGTCGATAGCCTTGCGATACCCGTGCGATGTCTTTCAGATTCAATTGATTGCGGGCGCCGTACGATGCCTGTACTAATGTGACCATACTCACGATTAGATCAAGACATCGGTGAAAAGTCACCGGCGCCCGGTCGATTTACAAATCGGCCGATGACTACTCATCGGCCGGCGCCCGGCGGCTATGTGACCCAGGCATAAGGTATGTAGGCTGGTGTTTCATTTTTCAAGACTGTTCTCAGATCACAACGACCCTTAATACGGGGTTACAAATGGTGCTGGTAGTTCACTGATTTTTTTCAACAAAAATAAAAAATTCACAAATGTTTTTTTTCTGTCAACAATTTGAATATTTGAGAAAACTTTCATCACAAAATATCTCATTGTAAATCTAATAAAACATGTTTTAAGAATAAAATTGGCTGAAATCAATTTTTATTTTTGACCCCCTCCCCCCAGGTTATTAAACGGACATTATCTCGGTGATAAAATGTGCTAGAACAGTCTAGTTTGCATCAATTGAGAGTATTTTGATGTATATCAAAATGCTTATGACAGAAAAATTACTTCTAACCATTCCTGGCAAATGATTAGCAAAGAAGTGCGAAACAATACCATCATTATGTTCAACCATTGAGAGGTTGGCGCAAATCAGTGTCAAACTAATCAAAGCAGCTTGCTCTTTAAATGTTCAATCAAGTATAAGGGTAAATGCCAAAATTATAAAAGATATTGACCATTTTGTACTTGTAACATTTTTGAGACACTCTGTAGAGGACATCAGAGGTTTTCCATGTAATGTGACATCGTGTATGCATCACTGCAGAGTAATAATGCGATATCGATAAATGAAAAAGTCAGATATCTTAGACTTAATAGATGTTGAAATGATCAAAATGATACTACCAATGGTCACCTGTCAATATGCCTACATTGTCATGTTCAAATGGATAATATTAATATCATAACATTTGGATTACTATACAACATCCACTGGGCTTTTGTCACATTTTCTGTCCACGATCCTAAACAAAATTATTACATTACAGTTGTAGCATGTGCAAAAGACAGTGACTGTAACAATAGTGGATTATACTGCCCTATTGGACAAGCTGAGACACGTTTGAAGGGGAAAGATCTTGGCAAATGTCGAGAACGCCTCATTCATGGATTGGCTTGCACAAGAGATGGTGAATGTCTAATAAATAACATGTGTCATAGAAACCAATGTTACAAGAACACGACACAATACATGCGTGGTAGGATTTTACATTCTTTAGGAAATATTTGTAAAAAATTTAACTTGATATTGTCCATTGTTTGTTCAAATGGAAACAACCCTTTGCACTTGAAATAGTACTCGCCTTACATTTTGAAAAAGACCTGTGCATCAAAAACTATTATTATATTAATAAAGAGCCATAAAACCTTTTTAGGTAAGCCATGTGCCAGCACCAAAGACTGCTTTTTTGAAGATTTAATGTACTGCGCCCATAGTACTTTGTGGACATGTGCGAACAGAGTCGAAGATTACAAACAATGTTATTACGATTTTGAATGTCTGAAAGGCCGAAAATGTGTACAGTGGCGACAAAACCGCGAGCATTGTATACCTCCCCCTTTCATCTGGTCCAAACCCAGAAAGACGTGTACACACGATAGTCAATGCCTGTATGCGCAAAAATGTCACCACAATGAGTGTATGAAGGCAACGTATACAGTTTTATATGGTATGATTTCTCGTTGATAATTCTATTTTTGAATGTATGACACGACAAATTGTCCATATGGTATGCAATTCTCAGGGCGCCTTATAAAGGAGTTGGACTGATTCAACAATATAGAGCAGTGACATTTGACCTAATATTTACATACCGTCAAGTATTGTTCTTTATCATAGCCGTTCATGTTCCTAAGGTTTTGGGCTGAAATTATGCGTGTCATGAACAAGGGTCTAAAGTATTAGCAAAACCGAATCTCCCTTTTACAATTTGAAGTACATGCTGGTACAGAAAATTATATGAAGTAAATTTTGAATGTGAATGTTAACGGTTTTTCAACTTTAAATTTGACGTTAGTTTTCTTAAAATACATGATATCAATGAATCGTTTTTATATAAGAATGAAATATGCTTAAATTATGGTAGATTTTTGAAAATTGGGTCTAATACGTTTTGAGATTTTGGACTTTCATTGTCAGGGGTCAAGTATCAATGGAGGAGGACTTATTGATCTTCCTTGACTAAATAAGGCTACGGTTAAAAATATTTTGCCCCAAGCTAGGAATTCTACAGTTGTTTTTAAAGCAACCACTATGACCTGGTCGAATTCATGAAGCTTTGAGAAAAATGGTTTTGATTATCAGCAACAGCAATGTCCAAGAACATGTAAATCATCAAAAATCACCAATACCTCTATAACATTCAAATAGTTATATATTTTACATCTTTGCCATTGTTGTATGTTTTATAAAACACAGGCAATTATTTCTTGTTTGACTCCTGGTGATGATAGAGATGACTTCATTAAATGAAACTTTCAAATGATAAAAACCGAGTATGTTTGAAATTATGTACTTTTTAAATAATTCACATAATTTTATTGAATCTGCTTGACCAATATTTGAAGATTAAGCAAAAAACAATATGCACATTTATTGAATTAAACTAATTAACAACTGATAATTACATTGAAATTTTAATTATTTTTTATATAATGTTAATCCTTTTATTGTAATTATGCTTATTAATGAATTAATAAATTATGATAATGTTAATGTTTTTTACCCCGTGTGATGAGAGACATATTTCGACACTAAAGCCCGAAGTTTTTTCAGCAAACGGTATTTTAAAATTTTAAGACACATATGAACCTCCTTAAATATTGGTTCCTATGTTGCTGCGCTATATTGTGCTACGGATTCTTCATATTCCGGAGTTATACCATGGACTAAAATAGAGTTTGGCGATGATCGTGATATAAAATTTTAATTTGGAAATAAAGCCGGCAATTTGATAGGGATTCCAGATTATTCTTTACCTCTATATCTGAAATAGATATATACAGGATGTCCAAGAAGTAGAATACTCTAATTTAAAGAGATTCGCCCATTGTGGGGTGAAAATGAATGCATTAAATCACTTACAATTCAAGAGTTACATTGTACATTGTACATTGTATATCCATGGATATACAAAGGAAGAACATCCCTTTCATTTTAGAACATTTTGTAACTTTACTCTTTGAACACTCTGTCTGGTCGGAGTCAAAGGCATTTCTGAAATAACGTATCCAGAAGGCATCTATCCCTATATGACAATTATATTGAATTCTCTCCAGACAAAACTTGCGATCTGAAATGCAATGTTCCTAACACAACAGTTGACTACATAAGAATGGTACAAGGTAGATCGGCAATACACGTTTTCTACGAATGTTGTACAGAAATTGAAATACGAGACGAAGACCGGAAATACCTTAGTGATACCATTAAGAACATTGTTACTAGAATCAAGGAGGTTGGTATTCGTAGAGACCCACAAAGTGCATATGGAAATTTGGCGTATACACTTGGCGGAAGGAACATTATTGTTGGTTTTGATGCATTTACAAAAGAACACAAGGGTCCAAGAAAATGGTTAGATTGTGAAAGACTTCCCAGCAGTTGTTAAGAAGTGCACGGACCTGGAGACAATTCGAGAAATATAGGCTAATGCCACCTTTAACCCTTTGTTCCCGCCTTATTATAAAGACGATCGCGCGACGTGTTTTTAAAGTATTTTCATGCGCTTTTCAGTAATATAATTTTTCATAGAAAAGTTTGATGATGCGATATACTACTTTTTAGGCTAAATATATCCAGACATCTTCATATGCGACAATGGCTATTCATGACGTCATAAGTGCTTTTTCGGACACAATAAGAATTTCCTTATATCTTGGAATAAAATCATTTAGTATTCCAAGCTTTTAACCTCCTAGTTTAGATCTGAATTGTATATTAAAAACAATTGCACAATAATGCGCTGCCGATTTACAAAGCAATAACCGGTTCGTTGATTTAACAAATAATATTAAAATGACAGCTGATTTCCGAGATTTGAAAATATGTAATGCAACCATTTTCATATCAAATTCATTGCATATCAATATTACTAACACCTCAAGTGGACATCCTGACCGTTTTTCAAAAACGTTTTAGAAATATTGTTCCGAAATCTTGTTACTCTGTCACTTCTGTAATGATTGAATTAGGATAACGTATTTTATTTTCAGGCAGACTAAAGTTGAAAAAATGTAACGCTCGAGGTTTTGGCGTGAATTCTATTTGCGCAATATTGCTTTGTTTTGGTCTTTTGACGCTATGATGTTACGTTAATTAATTGTTCTCAGTTTCATGCGACGTATTTTGCGAGTTACGACTATCACCAGATCGAATAAATAACAGGTGCATGGTTTTATACTTAGAACGTTGTCTCCACTTAGTAAACAAACATGTCCATGTTAACAATTGAATGTACTATTGAAGTGAATAAGTGATGGACAATCAAATCGAAGACAGCCACGGAATGCGACTCGCGTAACTTTTCACTGCAGTACAGAGCCAAAATGGGGGGACTTCCTGTTGTGCCTCCACATCGGTGGAGAAAACTGAGACGTCTAAGTAGGCCTATTCTAAATACTTTTCAGTATCTATTCGGTGACGAAGAGGATACTCAAAACCCAGATCCATTATTCATACCTGTATGTGGACAAAAATAAGAAGTTGTCCAGATTGAATTGAAATAGCAGAAACATTTCGATCGTCTTATAATGGTCAGATCGTTCAATAAGTTTGGAATAATTTAATGACACCACATTGAATTCGCTAATTCTTTAACATTTATTGTAATGACTTGAGTATGGATGAAATGCTCCTTGGTGTTCTGGTCCTGGATATTGACTCCGGGGGAAGGGCCTATTTCTTTTCACGCTAGATCAATGGGTTTTGGGATATATAGGTTAATTTTTCTTATGACAGGTTTACACTTAGAGTTTGCTTTTTGCTGGGGTTCATTAAGTTTTTTCTTTTCTTCTTTTCTCTTTGGCGCTTATGCTTAAAGTCCCCGTCTAAAGTTTGAAAATATTTTTTATCATTCATATACTATTTGTCAGGACTTAAAAAGTGATTTTAGAAATTTTTGAAATTTCTTAGTCATCAAATATTTCTTAATGCATTTCAAAAAAGATTATCTTTTTAACACCAATGCAAAGGTTGAACAAAGGACACACTATTTCAATAATGAAATGCCATATTTAATGGGCCACTTCAATGTTTTAGCATATCAAAAATATTTTGAAACGTTAGTGATGTCACTAAGGTACCAAAAACTTTTTGAAAAAAAATGAATTTTTATTTTCGATGTCAATCTTTTCTAAATATGTTAGACTTTCATAAAAAACCAATGTTGATTGTCTAACCAGGTTAAAAGGAAGAATAAATTATGTTTTAGATATCATTGTACCATTGGTTTCTATGAGAACTAAAATTTTGAAATGCATTTTTCTCAGAACCATTTTCATGCACTGATAAGTTCATTTCTTGCTTATTTATGAACCGATTTTCTTAATTTTTTCGGCAAAAAACACGGGAGGATGAATGCTATGCATTGGTATGAATTGTGGCTAATTAGAAGATATTAGTGACCTCTTAAAGTTGGTTTTAAATAAATTCACAAATTTTGGAACAAAAAGTCTATCAAAAACCTCTTTTTGAAATTTAAAAAAAAGTTTCACATATCACACTTTAATAACATTGGTTAAGACTACAGTATAAGCCAAAGTGGTTTAAACTTTATATGGGGCCTTTAATTATTCTAGAGGCGTGTGTTCCAAATATGTGACATATATGACACAAATGCCCATTATAACTTTTTGTGTTATGAAGTTATGGTTTTGTGGTTGCAATACCTATTTATAATATCATAACTTTATCAAACATGTAAAACTTTAATCAACACTGTTATATTCCAATATAGTAAATAGGTCCCCTTTGGCCCCCAATGGCCGACAAGAGCATGCTAGTGTCCCCCGGGGCCTTTAAAAGCATCCTGATGCCTCTACTCGGTGGCATCAAAAAGCATCCTAGTGGCCCTCAGTAGCCCCAAAAAAGTATCTTAGTGGCCCCCAATAGCAAAATAAGAATGCTAGTGGCCTAACTTGGCCACTAAAAATATCCTAGCCCCCTGTGACCCCAGAAATTGTTAGTGCCTCCCCGCCCCAAAAAATATCATTGTACGCCCCAGTGGCCATGTGGTCCCTAAAAGCATTATTCGTGTAGTGGTCCCAAGTAGCCTCTAAAAGCATTCTGGTCCAACAACCATCCTAACCATCACAAGTGCACCCAAATGTATCCTAGTGGCTCCCAAAATCATCCTTGTCACCCTCAGTTGCCCCCAAAATCATACTAGTAGTCCCTTAGCTAGAAGCTAGTGAGCTTCAGTGGCCCACAAAAAATCATCCTAGTGGCCCCAAACAAGCATCCTAGTAGCCCCAGCCCCCAAAAGCATCCTAATTGACCCCTGTCACCCCTAGAAGCAACCTAGTGGATCATGTGGCTCCCAATAGCATGCCAATGCCCCCCGGCTTGTGCCCAAGAAAAATTATCATGGGCATTTCTGTCTATGCCCCATATATGGGACGTTTGACAAATTAAAACAAAACAAAAAAATTATTCTTCAGATAATCTTCCAGACGTTTTTTAGTAATGTATTAAAAGTATACTCACTTGGAATAGAATAAGTGTTCATTCTTGAACTAATATTTCAATTTGAGAGGCATCGGGCCATTTCCTGTGAAGTAATTCAAAAGATGTCTGAAAAAATGACTTAAAATCACTTGCAGAGAAATGCATCTTCTTTTCTAAGAAATGTAAAGTACTATACTCTAATGAAACAGTGCTGATAGACACAAAAATAAAAATGTTACACATATGGGACATAGACATAGACACTCAGTGGTTTAACTTTACCAGTTTACCATGTATTTGAAAATTCTTTCGAGTTTATAATATGTGAGAATGGTGTAATAATAATTATAGAATCTGTTCATAAGCTTAACCTCTTGACTACCCAGAATGGCGAGATTTCTCGTCATCTCAGAAATGACCTTGAAACCCAGAGGGACGAGAAAATCCGTCACAAAATTTGCTCTCATTTGAACAATTTTCATACAATTTACACAAAAATTGTTTTAAAACATGTAGAAATGATCTCTGCCATCTAATTTTACTAAGTTGAGCATCTTAAGTTGTGTAGGTATGTAGAAAAATGTCAAAAGGTGGCAAAAATGAAAAAATTATCTGGTTTCCACCAATTGTAGAGCATGGGATTCAAGAGGTTAAAGTGTCTCACATATTCGATCAAAATTTGCCATGCAAACATGTTAGTCTACTTTACTGGCCCCCCTTGCTGTAACAAGGAACACAAAACACATTAAACAAGGCAAATGTGTATTAGCAGAATACGCATGTGTGCATGGACTAACACAATGTCAGTGGTCATTTACTGTGTCAACTTAGTAACCCTTGCATATCGTGCTCACTCAAGTATTGAATAATTTTTTTTATGATCTAAATGTTTGTGGTTTATAAAAAAATGTGATATATTTTAGTTGGAAATACATTAATAAATATATTCATTCAAACAGCACTAGAATGCGGGAAGAAAGAGCAATGGTGACAAAATGCAGACCGAATTTTCCGTAAGGGTTTCAAACATTTCTGGACACAATCATACATGTACTTCATGTGTACTGTTATTTTAGTGCTGTATTTATAGATATAATTTCATGTATTAAAATCATATTTTCCAGCAATGACTTCAAATTCGGAACCACCCCCATATCACATTTTCTTCAATAACTCCAAACATGTGTAAACATTGACCATGTGCATATAAATTCAGATTTCACGGGCTCTTTCCTATTCGAGTATCTCATACACCCCTGCATGGATTTGAGTTGGATTCGCCTTTTATACGTGAGCCGGTACACATCGCAAACGCTGATTGGATAAAGATTGCGAGAATCTTTAAGGAGAAAATTAAATTCAAAGTGCTCATTCACAATAGAAAACAATATTTTTGTTGCGAATGGGAAAATATTAATATTAATTTTCGATGTTTTATTCTAAAAAATAACTGAAAAAGTTTTGAAAAAATGAAACCGTCGAATATCACTTTTAAAACCATCGGATATCACCTTTTAAAATGTGATATTCGATGGTTTCAAAGTGATATTAGGTGGGTTCAAAAGTGATATTCGATGCTTTGGGAATTTTTTGCTGATGATATATCGGTCCACATATCAATGTATCTTTACGTGATATTCAATTTACATCCTTCTAACGATGGGATAAGGCGCAATGACATCCACTGAACATCTATTCAACTATGGAGTTATATTGAATATCTAAGACAATTCTTGATTAGCTATTCACTTATCTTAAAATGATCTACCATACGTGTACCCTACTATCACACCAAACTAGTTCTCACTACGTTCTCGAAAACTGGCTTAAACTGTGCACGAACGGATTTGACGTACTGAGAACCCACTAAGAACCGTTTGGGATCTGTTTACAAACTTCATGAAACTACTAGAACGAGTAGTTCCTCCAGCACTTAGAGCATGCTAAAAAATTTCTGGTGACCGTCAAAACGTTGCCGAATCGGTTTTAAACTGTGTGCGAACTGAATGAACGTAGCTACAACGTTCTACGGTCTGTTAACGAACTTCGTGGACTTTCCCGGACGGGGTATGTGATTTAGAATTTTGAATCGATTCAAAATTCGATGGCGACCATACCGTTCTGTAATCAGGTCATGATGACCTTCTAGACTAAGAGACGGTTTATACTACGTTGCACACCGACGTGGTGCGACCTGAACGAACTGCGAATGAGATGGACGTATTGAAGACTGTTTATGAACGAAGTAGCTAATTATTTTAGACATATATCCCGACCGCAGCCAGATTGAGCCCGTTTTACGACATTTTCGTAGGACTGGCAAGAACGGGTAAGAACTAGTTTGGTGTGATAGGGGGGTTACGTACGATAGTATGCAGTGTGAATGTTTTTTTCGAGTAACATAATCCCTTTTTTAAGTTTATCGTACACGTTAATATTTAATTGATTAGTACTTCAAATATCTTCAATAAGAAATGTGTAGAATTTATATTATACATATATATACAATGTTTTTTGTACAATATTTACATTAAATATACATATGTTGTATACAACAACTGAGCATTGGTATATCCAGTTGAGTGGATATATTATATCGTATACTGCTACTACTAGTATACTGTCGCTAACATAAGTTAGTAGCATTTAACCATTCGCAGCATTTTCTCACGATCATATTTTGAACACCTCCAAAAGCTCCATGGTATGTTCTTTAACGATTTTCCCTGGACTATCTCAGGGCTCGAGCACCTTAGATTCACCGACTGTTTGTTGATTTTCCCCGCATATGCCAACCAATACACAGTGCAATCACAATGCAATGGGTTTCCGTCCAACACCATCGTTGGCGTCTTGGCATTCATCAAACACGGGTCTAGAACATGAATATTGTTAAACCTGACGTCTAAGATCATCTTATCCAGTCCGTAGAACGCCCTGGCTGGAATTGTCGTCAGTTGATTGTGATTCAAATACATTCTTGTCAACTGAGTCATATTAGTGAACGACCATGGTATGGAGCGGATCTTATTCTTGGCCAGATTTACCTCTCTCAGAGTCGGACCCGCCTGCTTGAGGGGCTCTACTGGGATCTCGGTTAATTCATTACCCTCCAGTCCAAGGTAATAAAGCTTAGGAAAATACCTAAGTGTGCTAAGTTTTATGCTTTGGATCCTATTGTTTTGAAGGTAAAGGTATTTTAGTCGACGAAGTCCTTTAATTGACCTATAAGGAAAACTAGTGAGATTCGCCGACGAGATCCACAGACTGACAAGGCTGCTTTCCAAGCCCCTGAAGGCGTTTTTCGTGATCAAATCGATATTTTGATCTCCAATACTCAACGATGTCAGACGAAGGCCCTTGAACGAGTTTGCTCGAATATGTCGTATATTGTTCCCATTTAGAAAAAGTTCTTGTAATCTAGGGACGTATTTGTTAAATTTTGGTACGCGGTCAAAGTTATTCCAATTTAGAATCAGTTTCCGAAGCTTTAAATGATAACCAAACCCGTGAAGATTTGAGATCTTATTTTCTTTCAAGTTTAGTTCCTCAAGCATCGGTAGGTCGGCAGCTCTTAGAGGAAACCTCGACAGCTCATTGCTCTCAAGCTCAAGGCGTTTGATAAATCGTCCAATTTTACTGAACTCCTTTTTCACGCTATTGATGTTATTATTGGAGAGTTGAAGCCACGTAAGCTTTGTCATGTTTGCCAGCGATCTCGATGGTACCTCTGTCATGTTGTTCCATCCGAGAAGAAGTACTTCTAGCGTGTCCTCGAGACCTTCAAAAGCATCGGGTGACAATCTCTGGATTTTATTACTATAAAGACATAATTTTCTTGTTTTTATGTTCATAAAAGCACCAGCGGGGATACCACGAATGCTGTTGTAAGTAAGATCTATTTCTGAGAGTGTCTCACCGATTTTGCCGAAGAATGGCACTGCTGTGAGGTTTTTGGAGTAGCAATTGATTCGGCTTGATCTTTCCCAATAGTGACGTTCCAACCGCATCGCACATTGGTGGGTTGACACCTCCGCGATGGAAAATAGTATGACTAAGGATATGATGAGCGGCATCTCCTGTAACAAAAAATACAATTGATACAAACGTTACCGTATAAAAATCAAGAGATGTATTGCGCTTTCATTTAGATGGCGTGTGATCATTTATATCGTGTGTTCTAAATTCTATCGTTTATGGTTTCTCCTGGTACCATGTTCACTGGGGGGTATCGTGATGCAACAACACCGTGTTGTTGCATCAAGATGGCCAGACTTCCGGTGATAGATTTTCGTACGATGTTTTGTTTTCCCAATTTACACCCATTTCTAGGACGAGTTGCTCAATAATCATACACATGCAGTTAGCACATGATCTATATTTTAAAAAACTGTCATTGGTATACATGTAGCATCATCAAGAAGCGATAAATTCGTGGTTTTAATTCCTCACTATTGATGCAACAACACCACTCTGTTTCTTATCGATGATGCAACAACACCAATGTGCTGATGCAAAAACGCCAATATAATGTATCATTGAACAACAAGAGAAACTGTTTTACGTTCTGTTTACAGGTGTAGGTCGGGACATGAATAAAACGCGTGAGTCAGTGGTCCATGAACGAAACGTATTTTGTTTGGTTTCTTTGTCTATATCAAAGTTAAAAGGATATACAAGGCAAACTAAATAAAGTACAGAATCCCCGGGAGGCAATCTCATTGATATTGTATCTGAAAAATAAAGATTATACATTTTCTAAATTAAATGCCCTTGATTTACCGTATATATGGAAATTGCTTACAAATAACTAATATAATTTTGGAAAGACAACAGATCAGACATTTTGTGTTGTATATCCTTTGTTATCCCACCCAAAGTATGATGTCATATATCAAGTTGAAGAGTTGTATACGCTGCTCAGGAGTTTATGCTATCCAGGAGTTGTACATCGTTCTCAAGAGTTGTATAGGATGAGTGTTGGTTTAATGATATTGCAGTTATACAATGCTATAAAAGTTATTTACTGAGAGGGACTCAATATTGGTTTTATTTCGAGAGACAATATGATATTTCCCGAGGGCCCGGGATATCTGGGATAACTGTACCCCTATCAATTTACCTTTTTGGGCCCTAAATCTTATCACTTTTATTTACCTTTTTATGCCTTGGTCACATTTGCTAAGATTTTCACTACGGAGCCCGGACGATTGAGTATTGTGTTCAGAAATGTATTCAATTTTGAACAAAATACTCAATAGACCGGGTGCCGGCCGATGAATCGCAGCAAATGTGACCCAGGCATTACTCAGTCGGAGAGAAGGAATCCAAAGAGAGCAATAATTCTACATGTGCGTCGTGCAAGATTTCAATTAAACGTGTAACTAAACGGCCTCTCTAATAAAGTCAATTAGACGTTTTTACACATTGGCTCTCCAAATTGGAGGAAATAAAGAATCATATCATATTATATCATAGATGAAGCAATCATCCCATCAACATAAGCTCACGAATGTCACAGTTAAACTGTTTTAGTTATAATTTGATAAACAGTGGTAACGTACATCTACTATAGTTTATCACTGTTCCACAGATGGATGACAGATAATATCATGATAATATCCAATAGCTCATCATGTTTACCGAGAACGAAAGATGTTTGTCCACCATTTTTAATGATACTAACTGGAGTCAGGGTCATCAAGCTATGGAACAGTGGTTTATGAAAATAGATTGGGTTACTAAAGCTTGCCATGTTAAAGGCGATTGAACTATGTTATAGAATAACGTCCATAAATTATAATATGTAAAAGTATAAATTTTTGAAAATACATACGTATAAAGGATCTTCGCCCGCAGGACGTGTATTTTGAATGCCTTGAGAAGAACGCAAATATGGGTAGGCTAATTGGTAACGGTATTGCAATAGTAGCATTTAAAAATCTGTTCCTCTCGAGATTTATGGTCTTCTGAAATTATACTATTAATTGGTGTTGCTGCATCATTGCTCAAATCTAGAGGAGTGTTGTTGCATCTTCGGTTTGGTGTTGTTGCATCAATAGTGAGGAACTAAAACCGTGAACTTATTGCTTCTTGGTGATGGTATATGTATACTAATGACAGTTTCTTTAAATATAGATCGTGCGCTAACTGCACGTGTATGGTTATTGAGCAACTCGTCCTAGAAATGGGTTTAATTGGGGAAACAAAATATCGTACGAAAATCGATCACCGGAAGTCTGGCCATCTTGATGCAACAACACGGTGTTGTTGCATCACGATACTCCCCAGTGATGTTTCTCCCCATTAGTAGCTAATATGTCAAAATATAATAACAAAAATTATGAAAATGAATTCCCAAGTACGTTCTCAAAGTTATTTCAAGTGGAAACAAAGTATAACAAAAATAAACATAATCCACCTGACATGGTAACAAGTCTTTCAACAGTACTTTTTATGCAATAATATCTCGGGCTGACACACCCTATACTTCAAAGTGGCTGGTAAGTAGTTAGGAAAATGATGTATTGGGATCAAGTGTGCTCCAGCTGCTTGTGTTTGCGCAATAAGCATCCATTCTTTACCATACTGTTGTCAGGAATACATAACTAAGCAATAGCTTTCTCATAAAGTACCTTAACATACATCATCCATTAACTGACTAAGGTCAAACTGCATTTATTTTTAAACCTCAAAAACACTAAAACAATTTTCACCCAGATCTAAGTTCACACTTGATTATATTAAAAAAATCGTAAGTCTCATTTTATAACAACTTTGCATCTCGACCTCGTCGATATTAGATGGTTGGGATAGAGATATGTTTCGGAGGTTAATTATCCTGTGGCGTAACACATCTCTTGCTTTTAGCAGGTGCTGCCTCAATTGTGTTCCTAATGCAATAGCAATAAACACAGGCTCATAAACCTTACTTTTCTTATGACGCTTTCATATTTTTGCATGGTGTGCACTTTAGCCTACTCAATAAAGGTTGTTACAACATCAGTTCCAATTCAACTAACTCCAAACGAGTATCTTTTCCTTTTACCATTGATTTCAAAAAACTAAACTTTTGAATTGCATTTTCGAAGAACTAATTTTACGGAGATCTGTCAATAACTGGCTTATGTTTCTACCGATTTTCTTTATTTTTAACGATGGACAAAAACTAAGGATGTGAGCCGTTTTCGACCAAAAAAGTTGTTCAAGCACTTTATGAAATTAAATTTCACGAAATCCCATCTTTTATCAATAGAAAAATGCAATTAGAGCTTAAGTGGTTTAAACCTAAAAAACATAAGCTTGGCTAGTTTGTGGTGGGATCTCTAAAATTATGGAAAATACTTATTGGACACTGAGGGTTTTTAGCATTGTCAAATGGGGTAAGTGATTTTACCATGTTAAAGTATTGAAGTATTGGCACGGAACATCTCATGTAAAACGAGGGAAATATATAATCGTGGTTTACTCACTACAAATTAAATGCCAACGTATCAATTGATGTATTCAAAAAATAATTCTAAGTCAGATAAAAATTAAATTGCCTAATTATTTCCTATTCTGATTTGAAAGATCGTGTCAGTCATTAAAAAGTGACAGAGTCGCAAAGACAAAATCGTAAATCGTTTTGGCCTGCTGTGTTTCTTCAATAGTGAGGGTTTCTTGAGAAAATCTTTTGACTTGAATGCCTATATCTTTCTTCAGAAAAACCTTTCCTTTACCTGTCATATAAAGTTAGCAAATTAAGTTTTGTATAAGAAATAAGACAAATTTGCTAAGTTGCATGACCTAAGGGGATAAAGTTCACCATGGGGACATCAAACTCAGAACCAGAAAATGTGTCGACATATAGAGGTTTAGTATCGAGTATTGCTCATGCCTTTACGAATTGCCAAAATGATTGTTGTGATGCTTTCAAAAATATGATGCGCTTAAAAAGCATTGCAGCGAACTTTCTTTGAGAAAAGAGTCCCTAAAACATAGTTTCAAATAAATTTTTGAATAGGGGCGCGGCATCATTGATTCAAAACATAAAACACCCTATAGGCCAGGGGCAAATCTTGCACTTTTTCAATAGTGATTTTGATTTTGGTTTGAGAAAATAAAGAGGTTGGTGAACATTATAGTTTACTTGCTGTACGTTTAAAGCCTATCAAAATAGATAGTTGATTAACTTGCATTTATAATTCCTAGTATACATACCAATAATTTCTGACAATATCTATGGCATCGAAATTTAAATGCGTCAATCTGGGGCAACATCTGATAAAATGAACACAGCAAAATGTATATGTTTTTCTTAGATGCTACCCTTTGTGCCTTATCTTATTTCCATCGCTCTACCCTTTAAACATGACGAAAACAGTATTCCAGTGTGTTGTGTTGTTTTAGAAATAAATATTATCTAATTGGAGGTCTCACCAGTTGTCTGACTCAATCCTAATGGGTAATTGCTGCCTGTTTAACCGAGAATCCGAGCTTTCAAAACACGAGCAAACCATATATCTTCATTAGTTAAGGAAGTAGTGCACAATACCATGCTTTGTTTTTGTTGGCGTTCCATCACGTAATTAATTGTTAGAACAGACTTGTTACTGGCGTTCCCTTTAGTTCGCGGATTTGGTGCAATTCACTGTGTTTTCAAATATTTTCCTTCACGTGATTTTAATATTTTTTCAATGTTTATATTTTCTATAGCTATAGAAGTATTTCATTTAATGAGAAATATGAATTAAGGAATGGAACCTTACATACCCTCAATTTCTCCTTTTGACAAATATGCTTGTAATATATGGTATGTTGTTCTGTTGAAGATTGTATTAACTTCACCCGCTATGCCAGGTTCAAGTAAAAACTGTAGCCTGTGGGATGAAATATCATTCCAAGCATTCTGTTTAATTCATCATAATTCGAATCGACATATATTATGCCTTAATAGCTTCAACGTGGTGTATTGTGAGCCATCTTAATTTGTTTAGACTTCTTACTCAGAAATCAGAGAGAATGATCAGCATTTAAAAAAATACTGTTTCAATTTCTATACGGTTGCACTCATGTCTGTAAGTCCGTACAATCAAATTATGCTCTGGGCACATATCATTCGTAACCAGACATATTTCTAAAATTTCCCGAATTTCTTACCATTATAATTATAGGAACAAACATAAGCTAAAATTGCACTTTTTAATTATTGTATCTTCATGAAATAACGCTTGGGCCATCTCAAGTCTAATTCCGACTCACCAGAGTCTGCTTTTAAAAGTCTTAAATAGATCCCCTATTATTTCAAAGTAAATTCATTTGTAAATAACAACAATTCTTAGAGTTGTGTCGTCTACTCTTTTTTGATTCAAATTGGGTTTTAAATTTGAAATATTTCTCATTACATAATAGGAATCTCTACAAATTTAAACATAATATTACCCGATGTAGCAGATGAAGTACTTACATATAGTTTATGCCGTGTACACGCTGGATGAGTGAAGTCTCGACTCACGCTATTTCCGTTGATAAATGATTGCGATCTGTTTTGCAATACAAATTGATTTTTATTCTAAGAAACGTCAGATTTTTGAATCGGGGACCGTATCAAAACTGTTTATGAATCCTCTCTCCTAGAACTGATTTCATAGGCTGGTTTTGGGAAACAATGCTAACCACAGAAACAAAAACTGGTTCGAATCAGCCGTTTGCTCCTTCCCAGCCAACCATAATTAGCCTGGTGGTTGGCCTTAAATTAGTGTTTTAACGCCATTTACTAATAGTTCATTTAATTTGAGTGTATGACTTTCAATTACACACAAACTTCTGTACAAAAGTCTAAAAAAATGAAATTACTAGGATTCATGCGAACATTGGGACCTCCCAACATTATTGAGAATTGAGCTATACTAGCTACCGTACCCTTTATGTTCAACCTTTGTGTAAGCTAATTACTATTTAAACAACCAATTGAACATTAATTATATGTTACAACTATTTTAATGGATATTTACAATCCAAGGCAGATTTTTTATACGTCAAGAGAAAGCATTCACGATTAAAAAATAAATTAAAACGCTAAGTTTTACTATTGTTACCTTATTTAGGTTAGGCCATTGCGAATACAGTCAAGAGGTTTCAGCAATTTTAAGAATGAGCGTCAAATAATTCAATTAAATATTTTAATCAATGCTGTATTGCCACCCAAGAATTTGCATCTTAACTACAAAACTTAATTCTACCTGATTAAGATCACCCATGAAAGTGGCCTGCATGTCCCTTTTTCAAACAGAATAGTTTTGATGATTTTGGGCAAAAAAATTGGCTTTCATTGAACACAATTGGCAATTAACTTTTGGTGAAATTGACAAATCATCTAAAATAAAAGACCATTCCCCGGTGAATTAGAGCCCGTTTGACAAATTAAAGCCCTTCTGGACACTGAAAACCACGGTGAAAGCTGGATACGAGGCCTGATAACCTTGCTAACTTACAAACTTTTCGGTTTTGCGTATTGAGATGTTATCCAGAGAATATTTCCCTAGTGTCTACTTGGATCCACTTAGCCTTATAACTAAAATAAGCTGTGAATGATAAAGATTAAATTCCTCCGAGACAGAATGTGTCGAGGTGCATTATTTACTGTTGTTTTTGATGCACTGAGATAGTTGGGCGTCTTGAGTTGCACGATACGTCCAATTCAACAACAAAAATGATTCACACTGGGCTTGGGAAGAAACAATTACGGTGTACTATAAAGCAAGTAATCCGGTCACTGATCTGTGATCAACCGACCAATTCAAACTTATTTCAATCGAGGCCTGAATCACAGACTCGCTACACTATGTATACTTATTTACTCTTTATAAAAATAAAAGCATTTGCCGATAGAAAAGCTCGATAGATTCAATCTTATTCAGATAATCTAGAGATGAAGAGCACGATTGAATTTTATGCTTCCAATGAATGCAAAAAGTACATGTAGTTCTCGGTCGATTAATAGTGTAAATATACATATTTTACTTACCATAGCAATACTGATCAGTTTTTATCCTTTATTCACATTACATATTTTCTGGGAAAGTGCCGTATTGAGTCTGTTAACGTTGTTCGTTACCTTTTTGCTTACATGACTTTGGAAACCTAAATATGCAAGATACCACGCATGTAATGTATTCTCTTAAACTTTGGAGGTTATTTCTTTCTTTTATACATGACTTTCAAACTCCAATATCCCTTTTGCTAAATGAAACCATGCATGTAAGCATTTCTAAAAATCGTGTTTCCATACACGAGCTCGTCTTGTTTAGTCTATTTGAAACCTAAAGTTGCATCTAAGCAATTTTTTCTCCGTACACTCGGATCGCGTTATGCTTTACATAATCCTCTGCTGGGAGTATGTCCATCCGTAATCGTGCACGTAACATATAATTTCTTCAATTCCTTCTGGTATATCATCTTAGATAAGTCTCGTCTGCAGTATTTTAATCTTATATGAAATAAGTTCCAAAGTTACGCACTCTTTAAACTAAATCTTCATCCTCGGATTAGTTTGATCTGCTATATCTGTTAACAGATGATTGCTCACGTTTGTCTGTTTTCCCGGTGTCTTCTGCTACTCGAGTACGCACCTTGTAGAGCCCCATATTAATATTAGTCATATCGTGATGCCAAGAGTCCGAATTGCCAAGGGTTAGCTGAGTTTCCAGAATTAAATTCTTCTAGTTTCACACAACAACTCAGTATCTTAAATTTCCAAGTGTTATCAAGTTAGTTAACAACATGGTGTTATGTTGAAATGTGACAACAAAAAATTAGATTATCTGAAGAAAGGAAGAAGATATAGGCCTAAAATGAAAGCATTTATATATTTCGCTATTGTATTTACTTGATTATGCAATCTGGCCATTTTGTAAGATCTTATTTCCTACCGAAAAATACCCAGCAAGAGGAACTTTGAATTCTGCCCTGGAAAACATTCTCTGTTTTCCAGATCACAACATTATGGTAAGGTAATCAGTAGACATATGTAAAGTGACACCTAAATCAGGGCGCTTCAAGGCCTCGAGGGTCTTGTTGATTACTAACCAGAGACCCAGAAATACGGAACGTCGATCTCAGATCAAACAGATATATGCTGAAAAATACTGAGTGTGTTCTCATGTTTTTTGTTTAGACGTATACGTAGATAATCTTTGAAACAGTAAAGTTTCGGAGGCCTCATCTTGTCGCATTAAGTGTTTCCTTTTAAGAAATCATTTACGCTTTAAACATGTGCCATTTATTCTTGCATTTACAAAAGATTACCTTTATCGAAAAAGAAGGTTAACATTTTATTCAAAAATTGGTGGGTTGATTGCCCCTTATCTACCACTGCGCCTATTATCATATTTGGGATATTTGGGATTGTGCAATTGTTTAAAAGACCCAACATGATAAGAAATCTACAATTCAAGATCTGACAGTCTAGGGTTGAGTTCTGCTATTTTACATGATGCATTTTATAAAGGTTTGTTCCGGATGGTTTTATGAACGCCAGGTAGGCACATCTCAGTAAACAGAAATTCAATTCTCGAGAGTCCGATGAAGATGTGATAAGAGGGTACTGAGAAGCATCTAACTACACCAGTAAAGTGACTTGCATTGTTTCGTTTTATCATGTTGATAATTGATATCTGTATCGTAGTCCATTTGGTACTCTAACGTTTTAATACACGTGTATGCTTGAATTAATACAAGTTATACTAGTTATATACATATATCACAAAACGGAATATCATTCAAGCACCCAATAGAGCAAATCTGGAATGTAAGGCTGCTACAACATACTTTGTGAATGCAAGACTGTAAGTTATCGCCTGGATTTCACCCTTTTTGTGCCTTATGAAGAAGTCTTTCAACAAATTAGGCTCCATGCTTTTCAATTAGCCTTTTGACATACACCCCCAGGGATTCTACAAAATGCGGATCTGAAACGACATTTCAAACTGTGAAAAGCAGGAACGAAGTGCATTCCGTATTTCAAAGACATAAAACGTGAGAATGTTGTATATGATCATTTACGTTCGTCTATTGATCACATTGTGATTGAAGTACATACTGGAATTCGAATAATGCAATAGAGTACATCTGTTTCGGGAGTTCAAGATCGGCGTGTAATTTTCTGGACGGACGGAATTGCAGAACTTGAATGACCTTTGTGTTATGGATCTGATTCAAATCTTTCCCAGTATCCCTTGTATTCTCGTTGTAGTGGTAGATATTCAAACGTTGATAGCCATGTGTCTTCATTTTTGTATTGCGTGTGTTGAAGCTAAAGACATGCATGTTTTGACAACTGGTTGGTGACCGAAATTCTTTGGCTCAAAGATTCCCCATTTCATTCTTGAACGTTTTAACATGATTCGCATATTATAAGATTTACAATATTCAATATACGGTCTGATAAGTCGTTTCTTTCTGTGAACTGTGTTATCTATCAGTTTAGTATTGGCGATACTTGTCTTGCACTCATTCTATGAAGTCCCTCTTTACTATCCAGTTTAGCTTTAGATACAGAGGAGAGGTGTGTCGAGGGTGGGGTCACCATGGAACTTGAATTAAAGACAAGATTCCATTCTCTAACATAACACATCGTAATTTCATAATATCTTCACACATTATACAACTGTACCAGCTTGCCATGGTTACGATGACATACGTGACCCTACTTGATGTAAATGAACTTGAAAACACGTGTAAAATGAGTTAGATCGTAATAGAAAGTGGATTGGAATTTGTAAACAACAATGTTAGTATCAAAATGTCACCAGCTGGTTACAGAAAGTATCAGAATGTGCAAACACGTACATCTGGTGATAGTCATTGCCATGATCGCTATGTGTGACTAACATATTAAAAGTCAAAATATAGAACAGTTTTTGTTGTTGTTTTTTTACTTTTTTATTCCTTTTTTATTCATAGAAAAAACATTTGAAATATAGAAAAGGTTAATGAGTGGTGAGATAAAGATGAAATTAATAAATTAGCCTAAAATCTAAGATTAAAAAAATGAACATACAAATGGTTTTTAAAATTAAATTCAAAATAGAAAATATGAAACGAGTTTGCATAGAGTAAGATACACCCTCAGCAAAGCGTAGAGGGTGTCCAAAAAAGCAGGACCAAAGAAAAGTTATATCACTCGGTCAATCTTGCATATCTTGCCTTGAAAATTCAAATTTATTTAGTTCATTCAATGTGGATTCTATTGTGAAAGGTTGACGGTATTCTGCCAATTGAGTGAAAATATACAGACTTTACAAAACATGCCCCAAGTAGGCACATCTCCTCTCTGATTCACAATTGAATTTTGCGAACGAAGATGTTGGTGACCCTCCTGGGACCCTCCTGCACACATTTCTGGGAATTCACACCTATTTTACCTGAAAAACTGCACTGCCTGGGTGGCAATAAGCAAACATGGAATCATCGGCCCCTGTTGATTCGAAGATGATCGGCCGGGAATGTGATATAACAGTATGGTTTGAACAAGACAGTGCGAACCTCCACACTTCAAATCAGATATGCTGGAATGGGTTAGGCAATGCCCCGGGGCAATGCTTTGGTGGTCAGCTCATCACTGAGTCGCAGAGGCAAAACATATGGGCGGCTCATTCACCAGATCTCAACCACCCCCCCCCATATTTTTTATCAGTGGCGATATCTTAAAGACAATATGTATATGCTGACTGATAATTCCTGATCTCAAGAGGCCAATAACTACCCAAATTAGAGTATGTACGCGTAGCCTATATTAGTATTTCAAAACAGTCTATATTTTATTTCACTTCTAAAGTATATCATCACTATTTACATATTGATCTCTTCAATATGATACACGGACTCTGATTATATATTCTCGATTAATATTGAACGGCAACCGACAGTTCATTATCAGGTGCCACTGCAGTGTGGGATTAGACGAATCAAGAAAATAATCAGAAATTGTTAACGTTTGTAGAACCTTTAAAACAAATGTGAATATTTCTGTATTCTCTCCAAATGTACACCCATTGTTTCCCAGTTGCTCATCCGCACCATATGCAGCCAGAGATTAACAATTACCCCCAACTAGCAAGCAGTTAGGCAATGTGTTGTGTGGCTTTGTTTGATATTTCAGCAAATGTCAGAAACAAATGGTAACATGGGACGAGTTAAGTTGATGTTGATTAACGTGATAAAATATAACTCTGTCGACACACAATCAACCGCTCCTTTATGATTCTATCGGACTTTGAAAAACTTCAAGGGAAATAAATTCTGACAAAATACAAGATAATTCTGACGCCTGCCATGGGGAACTGTTCTTCTATCAGTGTTTTACCAGATCTATCTTCATTTTTCAACTTCTAGTTTATAGAGGCTATCTGTATTTTCAATCTTTATTGCATTCCCAGCAGAAATCTGTGCTTGCCTCTTCTAGTAGATATCGTACTGACATTAACTCACAGGTAACAAAATCTTGAGCTTACTATGAGATATATAATTCTTATATTTTCAATTGATTAAAAAATTGCATATATATTTGCATGATTCGTAATGTTCAGGAATGTCATCTTGAGTGAAATTATATCTTTCATTTTTATTTACGTCTTGCGTTTGTTGTGCTATGTCCGAATGTGTTTCCATATCGAAATTTCTCACCTGAAACGACAGACAAATTACATTACACCTTATCTTACAAATTAATCAACACTCAAATATCAAATTCGATACGTGTTTACGTATACAATATAGACCAGACCAGACCAAACTCTTGTGGTTCCCATTTCTCACCTTTTAATTTTTGATTTTCTATTCATAATTCAAAAGTCAAAATAAAAGGAGAAAGAGTATTGGCGCCAGGCAAAATTACGTATTTATTTCAATCTCGGCACTCTTTGAATTCGAGACCTTCCCCTCTGACCTATGATTCGAAGTTTTATATGTAGGTACCACGAGCTAGTGTGTTTAGTCTTTAGCCCCGAGGGGAAAATATGCATGCGAGGAAAGGATTCAAAACATTAATAATTTTTATTGTATTAGTACAATATTCAATAAAAATATTTATTTTATGTGTACTTTAAACCGAGAAAGTCAGTCTAACCTATTTATCGTGTGGTCTATTGAATTGTTTGATTATGTTGTGTGGTTTTATGCTTTATTTTTCAATTTTTGTTCATTTTTTCATTTTACCTGGGACATGGCCGGTGTAGTGTGGTACTTGACCAGTTTCTTTGCGATAGATGGGGTTGCTGTCTTCTGTTTTCGGTTCTTTTCGCTCAACGGTTACAGATTTTCCTATTGTATTCTTCACCAGTTTCATATCATCGGTGAAACTGTTCAAGGCATGATGTGTGTTGATGGGGTATGGATGTCCATTGCTCATCTGTGTCAAGATATGCGGAACAAACCCGGTGTAGCCTAGAGAGATATTGTTCCGTTTACTAGTTTATGTGTAGAGAGAGGGGGGAGGTCGTCTTTCGATAAAACTATTATGGGGAAAAGTATGGAAACCATATAAAAGTATGAAAAATTGTAAAATAGAAGAACGTTTGACTAAATACATGGGAAAGTGCGGTGATCAATAGCGTCATCTATTTTACTAAAAAAAGTTCAATTTCATGTTCTCAATCAAATTATCTTACCAGATATAAAACTCTTCTGAGGGTTACTGTTGTCCATGTAGTAAGGCGACATCGCAGGTTGGAATGCATTTTGTGATATATATGGCTTGGCGTCCTTCGCTATGGCTTTCAACGGACTTGGAAATTTAACAGACAGCTGAAATAAATTAAAAAAGTATCATCGTCATATTCATATGCAAATCGATTTTTTGAAAATCATGTGAAACGTTTATTGTGAAATTCTGAAAGAAGGCAATACAAGGCGATAATACACCCAATGCAATATATTATTTAAAAAAACACACAATACAATATGCAATACAATGTGAATGTATCTCTGAATACGTTATGTTATGAAACAAGACAATTCAACACTCAAGTATATCCAAATTGTAGATTATTGAAAACTGGTATTTGAACAAAAAAGAGTTCAAAGTTGATATTGTAAAACGTACCAATTTAGGATTTGTTGTTTTGTCTACTTTCATTCTTCCTGACTGTATAGAAGCGATATCCCTTAGTTCTTGGCGGTCCTCGCTTCTCTTTCTTCTGCTGAGTTCGAAATCAGACTGGGCATTCAAAGAATTCTCGGCATACCTGCTTCCAAAGTAGTGCTGTCCCTTTGGAATATATCCTAGAGAAATTGTGCAAAGTGAGACATACACTGTATGGCCATGTGTTGTCTTTACTTTTTTAATAAAGTAAAACGCGTTGCTTTTGTTACCTTTTCAAATGTTTCAGATTCAGTGCTATCGTCATGAATACCAGTTCATCTGATTAAAGTGTTTCAATCCTTTTATAAGAAAGCATATCTTAGGCCGAAGTAGATTCTTTGTTTTGCGTCCCCTTGCTTGCACGATTTTGAGTAAATCAGAAAAAACATATGCTAGGGGCGTCAGAAGGATTTGCCAAGGGAGGGGGCGACTTTTGGATATGGATGAGTCGTGCGTGAAACGCGCCGCACGCGGAGCAATCTAGGGGGATCTGTATGGGCCCTGAGAAACTATACAGAGTGGTCCAAAAAAAAGTGAACCCCTGCAACAGGCTACAATTTTCATAATACATGCATGAATTGGCTCATATTATCACATGTTGTAGAGAAAGGTCTAAAATTTTGGTTGATGCCATAATTTATTCTCAGTCTTAAATTTTGAAAAAATTACAAGCGTTTAACAAACATGCCTGGAAATTAGATATTGTACAAAATTTTACAAATGTGATTCATGGAAATTGTTGAAACACGTTGGATGATCTTAAACAGCTTTCAGTTAGAGATGCAAGTTTAAAACCCTACCATATGACAAAAGGGACACTATTCACGCAGAAAACACATTTCACACTTTCATTGATCATTTTGAAGCATTTTTAACTGTTCAACAGTTCAGGGGTATGTTACCTACACCAACAGTTAGAGAGGGGCCTCCTATGGAAGGAAGTTGCCCCCTGTGACCAGGAATCTGATAACCCCTTCATCAAATATCTTTAAAAAATCAAAAAAATCCAATATTCAATGTTTTGAGCCATATATCATAAGAATTGGTCCATGATTTATGAAGATATTGACATTTCAAGATCATATAGGGGTATGTTCATGATTTCACTGGAAAATGTTTTCGTCTGTTGAAGCTTAGCACATCTATTTAGATCACACTAACTTTGCAACTAACAAATGTAGGATGCTAGTTTTAAGCCATAATGTGCAAGATTTAAAATTGAACAAAGTCAGAAAATATTAGTTCTTTAAGACTGCAGCTTAAAAAATTCACAGGGGAAAGGTGTTAAAGGGTTGAAGAATCGCGGATATTGAAAATCACAATTTGTCCATTTTCAGTAATGTTTGGTTAAGGCTTATAATTTCTGCAAATTTCAAGACTAAGAAAATTGTATGGTATCAACATAAATTTTAGACCTTCCTCTACAACATGTGAAAATAAAAAATAATTCCTGCAAGTAATGAGGGAAATATGGCCAGTTGCAGGGGTTCACTTTTTGGACCACCCTGTATATGGTATAGAATTAAATATAATATGAGAAATGAGATATTTTATGCTTGATGTAGTCCAGATACTGACATCGTATCACTTATGTCATTATTACACTTTCACTTTGATTAGCTCTAGAGTGGTGGGGGGGGGCGTGTGCCCCCAACGTCCTCCCCCTCCACACGCCAAATAGTATCAAATAGTAGCAATCACAACGGTTTGAAAGTACCATCGCATTTCGTTCAATCAGAATCAGATGAAATGGTGGATAGTTTTATGTTCGTCAAAATTGACAGTGTTATTGATTACTTTGGCATACATTGTTTATTTTCTTATTTTTACCCTTAAATAATAGCTATATGTTTAAATATATTGTAAAAAACGTATAGATATGTGTTTGTAATCACTGCAAATTGGTATGTCATCCCTTTTTATGCCCTTGAAATGTATTCATTTCTCAGCAAACAAGTTTGGGTTTTTTCTTGAGTTTGCGTTTGTTTTCCTTGTACCCTTGCATGATTTGGATTTTGCCAGGACGCAAAACAAAGAATATATATATATATATAGTAATGAAGAAATTGTTGTAAACATCTTACGTTTTCCTCAAGTACAGTATGCACTGTGGGACATGAAAAGGAATGTTATGAGCCCAAAAATTCCAAATCTGGAAATAAAGGTTCCCCCAACTACAATGAGGACGGATATTGATGACTGGTGAATCTATTGAATCCGGAAAACATAAAAGACTGCATCACCACGTGACAAAAGGGGCATCTGCATACCAAACCTTTGAACGGGAGTGTAGTATAGAAATTGTATATAAAATTACCTGTATACCCAGGAACCATTTTGTCCAGCATTTTCTGATCACCATAGCTTTGTGTTCGATTCCTTAAACCCATGACTCTACTTTCTCTCTGGGACTGTTGGTCATTTTTGGAGGGATCAATATTTGCCAGCACCAATCGTCCAGAACTTGCAACTTTTTTGTTTGTTAAAAGATCGGAGGTAGTTCTTCCGAAAGTGGCTCCGATCTGATATTCGAACTGCGGGCAAAATCCACCATATCTTTAAATAAGAATACAAACAAATCAATATACAATCCCGTATTGTTTCGCTTAACTAAGTTATTTCAATGTAAATTGTTTATGATGAAAGATTATACTGTAAAAAGCTTACCCCGGGGTATGGTAGGGATCAGGGGTCATCAGTATACTCTTGGGCATCTTGGTCTTGAAAACCCTTTCTCAGTCGGACAATTTTGTTTTTAAAACATTCACTTTGTCAAGGCGATATTTTAACCTATGAATTGACGTCACCAAATGCTTTTTATTTGTCACCATGATAGATATGGTTATGACGTCATATTTGACCAAACTGACTAATATTGCAAGTGGACAGAACGAAATGAAGCACGATACCAAGTTAACGACAGTGTTAGGCTCGTGAATGCAATATATGATTAATATATTGTCTCGTATATCTATCTAATCAAAGAAACATGATCAATGGGTGGCCACACTGGCCATATGTGTCATGTTCTGTCGATTTATACACCGTTGCTCGTTTACATGCATATTTATCAATTTTACTCTTGGCAGTCAGGCAATCAGGTTCCATTTTCATAAGTCAACATTCGAAAATAAAAATCACAAAAATCGTACATCTTTGATTTCCAAAATAATTTGTGAGCTGGTTATTAAGAAGATAATGAACATTTTAACGTATTAATTTTGAGTACATCTCGAATCCATTCTTTGCAAACCTTTCACGAAATAAGTATTCGAAATGTGGGGGTTAAAACATGGACAGATATATCGCTCCTTAACAAATTCCTTTGGGAACAATAATAGAACCAAAAGCATATTCTTCTCATTTACTCACTGACACATGCCAACGCGGAATGTTACATATATTAAGTAAATATCTCTGTTTTAAATAATTTTGTCATTTTTTATTATTGGGTAACAAAATTGAACAGCTTGTATTTTCTAAATTGATAAGTTTCTTGGAATACAGCATAACTGTTAACGATTTAAGTCATTAATGTTTTCCTTGGTGATTCTTTGATAAATAGACAGTAACTGTGTCAATGTTTTATGTTCAACCTTGTTTTCATGATTTTTAAACATGAGTCGACAATTATACAGGAAATGTTCGAAATGTTAGCGTGTCAACTCGTGTTTTTCACAATATTAAGCCTTTTGTCGTGATGGATCGCCAAAAACTGCATGCACCTTTCAGAGATGATATGTTTTTAAAAGAGATGAAGCTATAAATTCAAACAAAAATTCAGACTACCCGCTATTATTTTGATTGCACAAGACGAAATTTCCATTCTCGAGAGCTCTTTGGTAACACTTTGAAGGAGGATTCTTGAAAAATCGTTCGAATTTTCACAAGAAGTTTCATTCATTTGTGGATAGTTATATAAATGTAAGTCGGCATGTATCCAACAGTTAATGATGACACATATGATGTATATGCATCAATGTGTGATCTAAATATCAATTTGTGACCATCATATTTGGCTTTCAAAAATTAAGTTACAGTGGTAAGAGATAAGCGAAAACGTCAATCACACCCAAATATCCGAACGACGTCAAGTATTAACAATGCACTTTTCGTGCATCTCGAACAAGGCAAGGTTCTGTGATCCATCAATGTGCATTCCGAAAGAAAAACTTCAACAATTTTCATTGAGTAGGAGATTATATTCGAAATTACAACTTTCAAAATATTTGCTTCAACCAAGGATTGTAATTAGAATTTGAAAGATGTTGTTAGTTTTTAATTTCAAGCCGCATATCCTCAATCACGTTCTTTGGCAAGGATGAATCCATTTGAAAACATGGTTTTTCTTAATTATTCTTCAAAAATACCCCTTGGAATATAAGTATGTAGGATATTACAGTGTATATTGACACGCCTTTGTTCGCGAGTGTACAAGTACAAGCGATCTTTTTGGTTAACCATTCAATCCAAATGTAAAATCAATTTTCAAACGAATGTTCACAAAAACACAAAATGTTGCTATTTTTAAAGTTTTTCAAAAATAATCTCTTAACCTTTTTTAAATAAGGTTTGAACCCATATGCATATGTAGCATACCCAATAAATATGAGCAACGTTGTAGTTTGTACTTTTCACCACCAATAATCAAACTAAATGGGAAATCAAAACCCATGTGAAAAATTGACTGTCCCTGGAAACACTGAACATTGATTTTATACTAAGAGTGTCCCTTGAATTTCACCGAAAATCAATTTGATGAGTTTTCATCAATCGATAGGCTCCTGTGTATCTCTAAAGTGTAACTCTGTTTTCCTATCTAGACGTTTTTTTATTTGAGTTGAAGTATCGACAACACCCACATCATATGATTAGTTACCTCATTAATACACTAATAGCCATATAAAGCCAAAGCAATACTGTCTTAATGGTTAGACATAACTCGACAGCATCAAACTAATTTTCTTATTTTATTACATTTTTTCCTTAGTTCTGTGATATATTTCATGCTTTACTTGGTTATTGAAGGTGTCGTTAACTGATCGATGTCTCGTTGTTAAGGGCACCAATGTCATGTTGTCAAAAAACATGGGTCCAATGATCAACATTTTGGAAAGAATGTCAAGTCGTTTTGCAGAGAGGTACGTGCAGGTCAAGCCAATCCATCGAGTTGACTTGAGATATTGACGACAGTACCCCTAAACTACCTTAGACTTATTTTAAAATTATGTTTTGAGCTCATTACATAATTTTCATTTTTTTATTTCCAGAGACCGTTCACAAAAGGGCCCTTGTATTATACCGTAACTATCATTTATTTCGACAAATACTTTCAGAATTTTGGCAAACTCTCAGATATGCGTCGGTTTTCAAGGGATTAAAATCGCGTCCATGACACTATTCAAGCTGTATTTTGGGAAACATTTAGTATGAAAAATAGGTATTGTGTAAAAATGGTAAATGATTATCATAATTATTTTCTTTCGTTGATATACATAAAGAAGTACATAAAGAAGTTTACTACCGTTTGATTGCATTTATGAAATCATTATCTTTTTATCCTAATTTACAGCTTCTTGTGTTTGCGTTTGTCTTGACAATGTCGCTTGAATTCAAAACTATCTAGGCCAATCCGGGCCATGATGTCATATTTTTTTACTATGGTCCATCTTAAAGATCCTTGGAGTCATTTTGCTCGTAAACTAATGAATTTTAGTTTCATTGGAATACTCGTAGTAGACCTATAGCTCAAGTGTACATGTACTTTTAAAGGTCAAACGAGAAGGTCTGGAGAGTGAGAAAGCAAATTTCCCATGATCACGATAAAAAGCCAAAGCTAGTGAAAGCTTTCATTCGATATTCACCCTCAACTACTATTTAACCTACCATTACGAAATTGAAATGGGACTAGCGACAAATGATGTCATCAGAGAAGTGACAGACACAAATGCGTTTTAACGTCACGGAAACACCATCCTTCCAGTCACTAATTGGTAACCCGATTTAATGTCCAACACTATCTTTTTCGGGGGCAAAAACATCAATCTTAAATCCCGTATGATCATAATTAATCAAAATTCATAGTATGTTGTGAAAGATTAAATTGACAAAGTTATATTCGCACATACAATTCAAATGCTCGTATAAAATAATATATCGAATATTGGATCCTCTCATGCAAGGCCTCGCCAATGATCGAAATGTTTAACGCATTGCCCTTATTTTGGTATCAAGTTCCCGAAGACATTTACATAGCCTAATTTGACTTAATTTAGGGCAAGGAAAAGATGACAAAACAAAGACAATGCTCCTATTGAGGGATAGTATTCTCTTTTACACCAAGTGAATTTGCCCCATCGTATAAAAAACAAAATCTAACTAATAAATGTAATTATAGCAATATGTCCACGCCGGACACGGATTTATTGGGACAATTTTGGATTTAGTAAAGGATTGGTATCGATATGGTGAACTGAATTGATGATTTGCGATCACCGAATGGATTCTATCTTGTAGTGACGTCACAATTAGGCCACCCAGCTTAAGATGTTTGATTTTGAGAGATTATCTTCTATATTTCGTGCTTTATTGATTTATTTTTCACGAAAGCGTTCGATTTGACTAGATCAACATTCATGCTAAGCACATACCAAGTATAAAATCTTAATGAGATGATTTAGATAGCGGTTAAGCGCCCCCCGATTTTGACAAAAACGGGGGGCGCTTATAGGCATCGATGTTTAGTATGAATTTCACCCAAACTTCGCACATATATAGATATACTCATGATCTAGTCAAATCGGCATACCTGGTAAATATCCGACCCATGGTTTTCATAAAAGAAACGACAATATTTTTAGCTCAAAACTGCCACGTGTCCGCCATTTCGTGATTCCATCATGTCTAATATCATTTCTATATGACGTCACACCAATAAGATGAAATACATGACAACAGTATCCATAAACAAAATTCCTGAATTGTGATCGCAAAAGGTCAATTCAACAATGTTTTTCTCTTAAATCAATTATTGAAAACATTCTGTAAAAAACACGGTTATTTTGACTGATTGACAACAATTTAATGCGAAAATTATTTATTTATATTTTTTTATAACTGTTTTTGTAAACATTTTTTGTTTTTAGTGAAATTGTTTTTTGTTCCTTTTTACCAATTCTTGAGAATGAAATAAAATATCTTTCCGAACCTTGTTGGGACGAAATAGCTTAAACAATACCTAAGAACATACAATGCTCATAGTCAAGTCTTGTATGCGAGCCCTAAAAACGTCCTCGTTTTCAACTAAAACAAGATCCCTATGCAATAAATTACCCACAACTCATTGATTTAAGTGTTCATAATCATAATTTAGTGCTCTTTGCATTATCCCAGAGAAATTATTGCCCGCCCCTGCATTTTATGCTCTGATTGGGATTGGGTGGAGTAATGAGGATACGCGTAGCTGCACTCGGTCACCTAGTCTTCAAGCTCGCTGATAAGTTGGCAAATTACTCTGCCGTAGCATGATATATCTCCAAGTATTCAGTAGGTTGAATTAAGTTGCATGAGTTACCCACTGTCTTGTGACACCTAAGAACATACAATGCCCTTAATGATACCATACCTAATTTTCAGGTATGACCTTGAAATCAGCTAGTACTAATGATAATAAATATATATTATTACTTTAAAAAAAGAAAAAGTAAGAGATCTAAATTAAAGAGATGCTTAAATGGCTAATAATAATACTCTTTCCAATAATTTCATTTTGCTTCTTCATTTACCCAATATGTCAAGTTTTCAATATAGGCTAACACTTTTTGTCAATTTGCGAAAATCACTTCAAACTCATAAAAAGTCATGGAATGGTGTGATATCGCAGCTAAATCGAATGCATCACTTGGACGGGGCACTGTCAGCTGCTGGTAACCGATAACGTGCTAAATAAGCCAAAGAGGCTCTGATACTTTATAGGATGACTAAACAGGCTTTATCAATAAGCCTATAATTCCAGTGGATCATCACTGTCTCTGTTCCCAGGTGTGTCTGTGAGAAATTTAATTTACACATTCCATCAATCAACACTGAATCAATAGTCACTTATCACTTAATTAGTTCACTAAATTTATGAACTGACCTATCCATGATTTTATATTACAACATACATGTACTCGTTCTCTGCCAGATCAAGATAGGTACAGTAGAGTATCGTCCCCTCTCCCGTCTTTTAGACGTCCCTGGACGCTTGGTCCAAGTCTTAGTTATACCTAAAGCCTATAAATGGTAGGTTGCAATTATACCATATTGGCGCAATATTAGAGTGTCATGACGATGTATTGGCATTTCTCCTTCCCGACACAGGTGTAAATTGGTAGGAGCTGGTCCTATTAATTGATGGTCCTACTCTCCATTGATTTATATGATGACCTCTTTCCCTTATTATCTTATACACAACCAGGGTCAGTAAGGGCCCTTAAAAGGGGGACCATAATCCCTGTGGGACCATAATTTCTTTCACACCGGGTTCGGGCAGTTCTATCTACTAGATTTGCAGTCATAATTGTAACGTTTCCTTTCCTCGACCCCTTGGCCAAGGTGTGTCTGATAAAAGCTGATCCGAACACAGTATTTCATATAACTACAGTGCATTATATAACCAATCACCGCACCCAAGGCCATTCATTAAATGGTTGTCAAGGTTGCAATTTGATTCTGCAGATTGAAATTAGTACTTTTGCCCACTTGACCCTTGCAAAAAGTTTCATTGAAAATATGTTCTTTTGGTGATTCCTTATTTTGCAATGCGTTTAAAAAGAATTTAAACCCAATACTTGATGCATTGTGGCTGATTCATTCCACCCAAGTGTTGTTTCCTAAATTAAACTTTGCATTCCCCGCTACGTGGTTATACAAAGCCAGAAAACAACACCTTCAAGGGAATGATTTAGTCCACAGGGCACTGAGTCCCAGGGCTTAAATCCTTAATTTACTAATAATACGCTAGAATGCAACATCCATTGTAACGCAATGAAAAAATTGCAATGGAATGTAAGCACTGCAATATATCGCAATAATACGATACAACAACGCAAGCATCACTTACACAATGAACTGCTTAAAACATATAAGTTCGGACGAAGAAAATATGTTTAAATTGTCACTGTCGCCTCAACGTTTATATTGCCAGTCATGTGATCTGAATAACTCATGAATCATTTTTTATGCTCACTCTTCGCAATGTGGTTCACTTGTAAACTATTACAGGCTATCTCAAGTATCAGCTGACAAGCCAGTTATTTAAAGGTGGTATATGCTACAGGCTTACTGTTAAGTAAGGTGATATACCCAATACAACAACTCGAATACTATCTGTGTATATTTGTGCACATAGATTCGTAGGCTGTACACCACTTAAATTGGACTTTAACCTCATGACGTTCAACACACAAACAAACGCCTGAGGTAAGTTTGTTAGTTTTTAAACTTTTCTCATGATTGTTAGTGTTATACGTTCGGGGACAGTTATTTTTCTCAGAGGGGGTGCTGTTGCGTAAATCACGCCGAGATCATTGACCAATGAATGGTCGTCATAAATAGCCACACTCGCATGAATAACTGGGTGTATTAAAAGGGGGTGTTTCACACAACTCGACTAGACATACAATCATGTAGATAATGGACGACAATTAACATTACACTGGACTACATTCAATGAGTCGATACATGTGTATATAGTCTAATAACAATTGTTTAAAATGGAAGATGATTATGAAACATGTCCATTGACCGATGGATGTATTATGGTCCATGAAATGTTTTGTTTTACAAAAGCATCCAACCAGGAAGTGTTTACTTCAAACTGAAACAGAAAGTTTAAGTACGATGTCTTTACCAGCTATGAAGAGTAATGATGTTAGACTGAGCATGCTCTCGGGGGAGGGCAGTAAATCATACCTGTCGTGCGGAACTCGTGTCGGTTGATTTGTTGTTTTATTTGGTTTTGGTGTCCAATGTGTCAAGCCATGCCGCAAGAAACCACGTCGATAAGATATAGCAGGTTAAAGCCTGGTTATTTTTAAATGTATTCATCAGTTACATACATTTTGGATTTGTATTAAATAACAAAAAAATAACGCGATGTTCAAAAGAGGATTTTACAATTTCGGGGAAGTGTATGTAACTGATGGTTACTCAGTTGTGGAATCACAAACATGGTTTGAAATAATGTATTTAGCATATGCTTTGGCCCTTTCACATTATACAGGGTGGGCCAAAAAACGCCACTTTTTTCAAGACACTACAACTTTTTTATTTTCCAACCTACATACTAAAAGGGGAGTTCAATTGGTCCTCCACCCTATTTGATGATATACGAGGGTATATCATAAAGTTCTCATAATATTTCTCTAACTTTTTTATTTTTCAATATATTCTAATGAAATTTTCATGAAAGCTGCAGTATAGAACACTCTATTAATCTATCAAAAATATTTGGTATAACAGAAATATTAGATAAGAAATGGTACCCGGGGCAAATAAAAATAGTTGAGAAAATGAGCTTAATTAACCATGTTTATATACATAATAAACTCTCATAAATTATCAAACACATTAAAATGTTATCTTGAATATGTTGTTAAAATGCTTTTACTATAAAATAAATTGATCATGTGAATTGTGTGATGTCATAGGGGATGCTTACATGCTTCATTAGATGTGATACCAGACTCTGAGAATCAAAGCTTATTATGATCAGAAATGACTGAATAAGATCATGCATAGATGCAGAAATCATCAGAAAAATAAAATTCATACCTACAAAAAGTCTAGATAAGTTCGAAAAATCCTTTTGCTTATACTAAAGATGATCTAAAACAAATATGTTGCAAAGATATCAACAAAATTACCCTCCTATTTGTAGTCTAAACATATTTAAGATGAACTAAAGGGGGAAAATCGACTTTCCTTAGAATATTTGACAAAATAGTTGTAGTGTCTAACATCACTTCTAATGAAGCATTACAATCATCCATTATGAGATCACACAATTCACATGACCATTATAATTGTTTTCAAAACAGTGAAGAACACATAGTATTTAACAATTTAATGTGTTGCATAGCTTATTTGATAACTTATGCATTTAAACATGGTTAGTTGGGGCTATTCTTGCACGATTTTTTATTTGCCCCAGGTGCCTTGATTTCCGGTTACTATGGCAACCATTTCTTAAATAATATTTCCGTTATACCAAATATTTATTAACAGATTGATACAGCATTCTATACTACACATTCTGTGAAAAATTCATCAGAATATATTGAAAAATAAACAAATTAGAGAGATATTATGAGAACTTTATGATATACCCTCGTATTTTAGTTTTAGTCGCCTTGCTGATATTGCAGTATCAATGAAATGTTAGCTAAGTTTTTTCAACCTGTCTTAATTGCCAGCTTTAGTTGAGTAATTTTCTAGATTGGGTGCCTTCATACAATCTCCTGGAGACCTTCCCATACCCTATACTCACTGGGGTTTGCATCAGGGCTATTAGCTTGGCGATCATCAGGCCGTGTCAGTTCAGGAACATTTTGCAAATTATGCTTATTTCTCATGGCACACCACATGTTTAAGTGAGACGCTGGTGACATATTTTATTCAAGTAAAAGTGTATAATTCATGATCCATGGCTAGATAACAACCTCAAGTTTCATTTGGTATGTAAATTATGATTTCATATAAAAAATTATAGCATTTTGTTGAAAAGGTTTTTTTTGGCCCACCCTGTATATCATTATCGATTTATCCATCAGTCTTAAATAGTTGAAATTTTTTAATTAAGATACTCAAAGAGATCTCAACCTTATTTTGTGCAGTTAAACCTGGGATGTGTACTTAGTTATTGTTTCAGTCTTACAAAAATAAAATACTTTATGATTTGTTAGTTATATGATTTTTATCCGCAAATAAATATGATATCTGTTAAGAAAAAATGAGTACTTAATTCCGAGAATGCCGAATCTCTTATTCATTCAAACATTTGACAGTAATTGTATTGTATTGGTTACGTGTTAAGTTTTTGTTACTCTTGGGGTAAATGGCAAGTAAATATGTTGAAAATGCCATCGCTCGTTCATTAATGATGCCAAGGAAAACACCCATTTCAAAGGCAGTTTAATTATTGCAAGATCATTTTATTGAGATGGTTGTGTTCGAAGTCTCCCTTTCATCAATGGCAGTATAGAAGTACCATGATGTAACATGGTATCTAATTTCTTTTCAACCGCGTTTTTATGTGACATACATCCCTAAATTTTCATTGGATATGGATAGCTTATCAAGGCAAATCATAAAGCATCCTTACATACAACCAGGACCAAGACTCGCCAAGCCGATCAAGATGTGCTAATAACCACTTTGATTTCACTCTCGTTATGGTGTTGCATCTTCCAGAGCAGGTATCCAGAATCCGTACCTCCTTCTAGCTTCCCCCTGCTATAACCAATTTGGAAGCGCCCGATTAAACTGAACCACGTGATCTAATTATGTGCAATGACTTATACATGATTTCTGGCGCAGTGTTGCTACAGCCAATCAGATTGCGAGTTCTTAATCGGGGAAATGCTAACTGCTTATGGCAGGGGGTACGAAGAAAGAATATATTCTGGATTTTGAAGCCCTGTGATCGGAGGATGTGGTGTTGAGGTTGGAATAGATGGCAGGTCAAGTGTTTATTGGTGCTTCCTGTTGGATTCTATTGGATGACGTCTACCTGTTACCCCCCTATCACACCAAACTAGTTCTTACCCGTTCTTGCCAGTCCTACGAAAATGTCGTAAAACGGGCTCAATCTGGCTGCGGTCGGGATATATCACACTACTATACCTTGCATTAGGTGTTCATGAGCAACCCATTTGGCTTATTAGTAATGATTATGTATTTGTTTTTATTTGTCTGTTCCTTATGAATGGTTTATCGGTTGAAAATTAGATGCTAGTAAGGCACTTTCAAAAATATATTAAACAATTCAATTAGACAAACAAAGTATCTTATGCATTTCTAGGTGTTAGGTATAGTAGTGTGTATATGTCTAAAATAATTAGCTACTTCGTTCATAAACAGTCTTCAATACGTCCATCTCATTCGCAGTTCGTTCAGGTCGCACCACGTCGGTGTGCAACGTAGCATAAACCGTCCCTTAGTCTAGAAGGTCATCATGACCTGATTACAGAACGGCATGGTCGCCATCGAATTTTGAATCGATTCAAAATTCTAAATCCTATTCCCCATCCGGGAAAGTCCATGAAGTTCGTAAACAGACCGTAGAACGTTGTAGCTACGTCCATTCAGTTCACACACAGTTTAAAACCGATTCGGCAACGTTTTGACGACCACCAGAAATTTTTTAGCATGCTCTAAGTTCTGGAGGACCTACTCGTTCTAGTAGTTTCATGAAGTTTGTAAACAGATCCCAATTAACGGTTCTTAGTTGGTTCTTAGTACGTCAAATCCGTTCGTGCACAGTTTAAGCCCGTTTTCGAGAACGTAGTGAGAACTAGTTTGGTGTGATAGGAGGGTTAGAATTAATAGTATTACTAAATTATAAACTATTGCTAATTACTTACTCGAACTTAAGATAAACAAATGTTGCATTTCCTTTGTCATATCAAGTTTTTCATTGCGTTATACTTAATGAAGTATCAAATATATTGCCAATTATTTTTTATTCGCAATAAGTTGATAATAGGAAAATGCAATCTTACTTAATAGATCAAAGTGATAAGAATTATGTTCAAATTAGACAGGTAGTGTTCATTCCCACACCAAGTACTTATAGGTGGCTAGACAATAATCTGTTTAATAGTATCTGGGTTATCTTGACTTGTCAAAGATAAGAAAAATGTATCTGTATACCTTAAAAAATCTTTAAATGTTTTCTATCAACTATTTCAAAGTATATTGCTTAGCGATAAATAGGTATGGATGAACTAAGTGTGTATTGCAACGGTTTGAACGCAAAAGTCTGTCATTATACATTAGGGTCATGATCATATGCATGTTGCCAATTTTTCTAAGGGGGGGGGGTCTCTAAATCCCCCCCAACCCACTCACGCATAAAATATTTCCATGCTGAACAAACTCACTTCGCACCAAGGGCAATCCTGACAAAATTCAGATGGAAAGGGGCCTAAAAGTTTGGCCGAAATATGTGAAAATAATGCCCATATTTTACCCTTTACAAAGTATTCGACTTCACTTCTTAAAAGGAGAGTTTCGTCTTCAGTAGTTTTATAACTTAACTCTGCACGCAGGGAACACATGATCCTGGTGCCACTTCCAAGTTTCGTTATAATCTTACACATTGAAGACATTTGTGTTGCACAAGCTCGTTGAAAGCATCCTAATTATATTAACACCTTTTCTTTGTCGATTCAGTTGTCATTAGCGTTGATGTCATCCTT